CAGCGCAGGCAGGCAGGCCTCTACGCAAGACAAAACACGCAGGCGACAGAGTGTGCGTGACGTGGGGTGCAGTACCGAGTAGCGTCGTAGCCCTGTCCGCCGGGTGGTAGGGAGGGCGGCGCCCCCGGAGGAAACGGGGACCGCGGGGGACCAGACGGCGGACGCCCCGGTGGTTTCACGCCGTAAAGGCTGTACGATTCCTCCAACAGCTCCGTATCGCTGCACCACCCACAACAGACATACACATCCGCGCTATCAGACATCCGCGTAGAGGAGGTCGCGGCGCGGAAACAAGGGGGAGGGTGGTTTCAGTCATTCTGGGTGGGACCGGAGACCCCACGGAGACGACATTTTCCCTAGTAAAGGGCTCGCGGCTAGGAGGAGTGGTGGATAAGAGTTTCCGGGTGAGTGGAGTTTATTCGCACACGGACTGTACGTAAGATTGTATTTACACGGACAGAAGTGACTGCGGACAGATGTGTGTGCTGGATCTCTCATTAGGAACTCTACGTTATATAATGTATAATGAAGTATAACTCGTGCATTTATCATATGCTTAATCAATAATTTGTCGGGACGAAAAATGCATTGTCCGCATTAGACTTTCATGCGGCAATATTATTATATAATCGGTTAATTAATAGATTCAGCCAGTTCCGATGTCTCTTCGGCAAGAGAGTAAAAATATGTTCAGCGTAAATGAAATATTGAGCAGGACGCTAATAAAGCGAATAAAATGAATCTCGACGTAATGAGGTAGCTAACGTTCTATTGTCGCGTATTTCGCTATTTTCTCTCTACTAGAATTCATATACAGTGTACTCTAAACTCCCTACGGTTTTTTTTTTTTCGTTAATCAATTCCATTCCATTAATTTATAAATTAATCTGAGTAGTTCATTAAAAACAATGCATTCTTTTAATATTTAAATGCAGGTGTTATGTAACAAGATTTCAAATTAAAATTCTTCCGAACTTAAGCCAATCAATATATATCAATTAAATAAAGAATAAAATTATTTAATTGCATTTTTAGACTTTAATTAGTAAAAAATCTTTAAATTTTAAATCACGGCTTAACAAATTGTCGATTATTAATTTCGACAAAGAACGAAATAATTTCGAGTCAATCGTCAGATAAAAGAAAACGTAGAATATTTGAAAGAAATTTCCTGCGTTTCAATATATATAAAATTTTGTCGGTTACAGTCGTATCGTGTTTCTTGGATGGTACTATAGGTATTATGATCGAATTTATGAGCGAATTGTCTATTTTGGAATGGTCTATTTTGGAACACGAAACTCCGGTTACCTGGCTTCTTCGTCGATAACAGGCGTAACAGTTCCTGAGTATTGTGAATAATACGGATCCTCGTAGCTGCTACCGGCGCTGTAAGGTCCGGGTGGATATCTTCCGCTTCCGGAACTGACGCCGCCGCCGCGTTCGGGGCTGCTCATATATCCGCTCTCGCCATGTAGCCGATCTGCAGAGATTTAGTGATTCATATTAGTTCAACGTGAAGAATGTCATCAAGGCTCTTCCTCCTTGCACATTGTACCTTTTGCATTAGGCTGTTTGAAAAATAAAAATCAGCTATGTACGAAAAAATTTGTAATAATAATTCACACAATATTATTAGTCATAAAATAATATTGTATTTAATAATAATGTTAAATATAAAAAAAATATTAACACAAAACTTCTTACATACATTCTTAAGCGAAATAGATAACAGAAAAAAACCAAACATTTATCTCGCAATAAAATTAATAAACAATTGAGAAACAGATTGAAATCAGGGATTATATCTTATTAATAATCCGATAATAAAAAATCTATTGTATTATTACTTATTCTTCTCGCTTTGTGTACGGTATCTCTTGCGCGATGTGTTTTTCAAAAGAGTTTTTATGATTGTTATCATTTATTTGTGGCTCGATACCTCCGTCGAGTTTCGTGGTGCGCGAAATGTGCAAATGAAATTACAATCAGGGACCGTATCGACGAAGAAATGTCATTTATATCAGTCATCGTAATGGAGAGGGTAAGAAATAAGATTTTTCACGATCGTGCTTCTTACGGGAAGGCACACAATCTATGGTTCTCGAGTGACAACGGGAGTGGATGAAAAATGGGATGAAAAAGAGATGCTTTTCGTACATTATGATATCACACTACGATGTACAAGGGAGATGACATACGCAGGACATTTCTAAAGGTTCTCAAGGGACTTAGCTTTAGTGCTGGGAATATATCGAATTATTGTAACTTCATAATGACTCTGTAATTATTTTACACTTTCTACGCATTGTTATACTGAATAATTAAAAAGTGAGATTGCTCAGATAGTTTTTTATTAAATTTATTTTTTTCTCGTTAATATGTATAATATACGCTGCGTAATTAGAATCAATGTTTCCGCTTTTTAATTTATGAGTAAAAAAAAAAAGAAATTAAACACCGATAAAAGTTATTGCATCAATTTTTGTTCTTTCGGATTAATTTTCGAGGATTAATGCTCGAGGAAGTTTCAGTTTCCTTCTCTTCGCATGACACGTCAGCGGCATTCGAAGTTTGCCGGCGCGAATTCAAAACGTTTCGATTCCATTCCCATCTATTCCCAACACTATTTCCACGGTCTCGAGGTCGTTTAATTAAAATTTGGCTCAATCCGGCTTGGCTAATCGCAACTGCCAATTTCATGGTTTTCCTGCAGTTACCACGCTCCAAACGGTCAACTACCCTCGTGGTTAAGCTTCTCCTTATTACGAATTGGCGACATTGTTACATTTTTGTGTCACACGTATTATGCTTAAGACTTGTTTTTGATTCATAGCTTGTACAATTAATTTATGTCCAATGGTCTCTTTTCGTAAAAGGTATAAAAAGATGCATTAGAACGATTAAGCCTGCAGAGATTTATAGATATGTCGTTGGATTATACGTTTGGATTATACGTACACCGCTACGGGAACAACAATAAATAACCGCATTGCTATTTTTCGCAAATAACTGGATTTTGTTCTGCGTTATAACCGGATTCTATTTCATTTCACCCGGCGCAGCTGATTGCGCCGTTACAAAATTTACAAAGCCTACAATATCTCTCCACGTATCGGAATAAATAACGTTACAAACTAAATCCTTAATCGGAAATTGCACAAAACATGCGAACTGTGAATTGTTAAAGATGTCCTATAAATTTTACATTATACGATCACAAGGAGTTTAATTTTGTTTTACACACACACACACACACACACACACACACACACACACACACACACACACACACACACACACACACACACACACTACTTTTCGCCACACTTTTTTCGTGTGCTCTTTAATAATTAGTTGTACAAGCAACAAATAATTATTTATTAAAATGCTGTTAGTAATTGATATTAGTGATTAACAATTTGTTTACTAATCATTCTAAATAAAAATATTCAGTTTTAATTTCTTTTCATCGTCATTTCACACAAAATTTGTTTAGTCTTCGTTATAATTATTTATAATTTAAATTTTATTTTAATAGGCATATCTTTTTTACACCTGCGATCGTTTTTACGTAGTACAGCTCAAAGAAAGCGTTATATATATTACTTGGTTTGGCAAGCGTCAGGCGTCAAAGATCTTTCCAAGATTTCCATAAAGCACGAGCGAGCGTGTTATCGATCGGCGATCGTCCCGCGGCTCGTCGCGGAAGGATCGAGCTGTGTCTGACGAATGTTTAAGGATACTACTGACCTGGTATACTATAGAGGGAGACCGAGCTGTCTCTAGAGAAGCGCGCCGAGCCCCCGAGGCTTCCAAGGGGACTCTTACCACACTGGTAGCTGCGAAGCGGCTTGGCCGGCGGCACCCCGCCAACACCTATCCAACCATCCAAAAAACCAAACAAAAAACCAATGTACCCAAGTGCTCCGATGCACGTATCTCCTGTTCTCCGCCACCTTCGCTAAGCCGTTCGACGTTCAGTGCACATGCAGAAGTGAACAAGTTTCGATCGCGCGTCGCGCGCGCGCGGTCGAGCCATTTCTCATATCTTCCCGAATGCGGACTTCTCGAATGCGAGATCCAATTCAAATTCATACAGGACAGTTCGTTCACAAACGTTCCGACACACTTCCGAAACACGGAACGCGATAACGTTTCCGAGCAGCGATCGCGCGCGATTCGTCAAGTGGAACGAGACCGCGTGCGTTTCGAGTAGGCGAAAAGACACGATAAAGTTAACAACCGTCCCCGAGAAATTTTTTTCGCTGGCTATCACGCATCGAAGCATTAGTAGTACTATAATTTTACGACGTGTCGTGCGATTACGACATCGATTGAAATTTTGACGTAACAGCTTGTCGACTTTTACATATATGCACTTCTCGACACGTCACAATAATCGTAGCGTCAAGAGAAATGTCTTCTTTAGAAAATGCTTTCGTTTAATAAATTGATTTTTTTTAGCTCATAACACTTAGAAGACGCTCGCGTTTTACCATATAAAATAGATTTGCCTCGTCATAGCGATTGATGATTAATCATGATCAATCGGTGTGTGCGATTGGGCTATTCACGCGTCCTAAATCCGTTCCTCTCGGCGGCTCGGTATCTCCGGGTAAAACGTTTCTCTCGACAACAAGGAGAACGCTCGTGGCGGCCAGAAATGAGGCCATCCTTTCCTCTTGGACTAGCAGGTAGCCTGTTAAGTGTTTTTGAGTAATGTCGAATAGCGCTCGGCCAACGCCGACGGTCGTAACGATCTCCGTTAGGCGATCAAGAATCGAAACGACCTTGCAACCGTCGATCGGAAGCATGAAGAATGGAGAGCGATTATGTGCGTCTGTGTGCGGATGTATGCGTTTAAGCTCAAAGCACGAGGTGTACATCGAGAAAAATTGGTCGAGTTTCGAAAGGGAGTTTCGAAGGGAAAGTGCGTTAAATTGCGCCAATATCGCTAATCGCTTCTAATTCGTTGCCGATCTCCTTTGCCAGCCAATTATATCGCAAAAAGCGTTCTTGAACTAACGTTCTTGAAATGCAATTTAGAGTACCAGAATTCAAGTGAATTATCCAACGTTATAAATTGAAATAACATTTAGCTTTCAAAAGCAAAAGAATTAAAGCAGGAATTGTATAAACTCGAATAAATATGGTGTTGTGTCAATAATAATACTGTTTGTTCTAAGGAAATAATAAACGAGAAAATAACTCTCAGTTGTATTAAATTATAAAAGTTATTTTAATAAAGTTGAGTAATTCACTTGTATAATATAAACATCACTGATATCTTGTTTCCCATTGTTGTATGCGTTATAAATTGCAGTGTAAACCAATTTTAGTCACTCAGTCGACTGAATAGTCGATTCGACCAATTTTCGGAAGAAACACAATAAAAAAAACTCATATACATGTTTTTTGTATAGATATTGGAATTAATATTTAATGCATAAAAGGTGACCAGAATTTTATGATGTTAAGGTAGAATCTATTTTGTACGAGAATAAAATGTAATTCTTTCATGTTATAATACAAAAATTAATTTATTGGCGATCTTCAGTTTCCCAATTCTTTGTGAATTTCTCTTCATCGAAAAAAATCTCTTGGAAAAAATCAAATTTTTAATGTCACAAGTTGTTACCTTAATTCCTCAAAATCTTCACAAATTTTATATAACTCCTTCGTTTTATTACTGTCGGATAGATCGGATATGACACGTTTGCATCGATTTCTTGAGGATCAAAAAAAATTCGGAATTCCAGGTTCGTGTCTTGAGAAGGGCTTTGCAGTTCTGGTCACCTTAGGTAATGTATCTCAGGGAATGCGAAATTATGTGCGATGTATAATATGTTTGCATAAATCCCGGAAGGAGGATGATATACTACGGAGAATATCGGTGCAGGCATGAAGGAAATGCACAGGCGCGCAAAGCAGTAAATTCTCATTGAACGGCCCAAAGTTGTCGCTCCATAATCCCTTTAGAAGTATGCGCGACATCTTGCCTCTATTACGTTATAGCGTAGCTTCATTATGACTTCGAGTTATGAATACAATTCGAAGGAGAATTTATTCCCCAAATTAAATTAACATCTATTTAATTCTGTTCTAAAATTGCAACGTTTCATCTATAAATTATAATTATTATTAACCAGGAAGAATTATAAAATAATAATATAAATATTGGTCCAATCTCAACAAACGTTCGCACTTCAGTTGTAGTATGCCAGACATTTTTCAATTTTTAGTAGATCATAAATCGTATAGTTTATACAAAAATGTGGATTCTCGAGCATTTGTTGGGCCGCTCGTTTGACGAGTCGTGTCGATAAGGTCTCGAGGAGAAGACTTGTATGTATCTATATACAACGTGCGTTGTACGAAGACACGCACCGCGTACTAACGTAAAAAAAAAAAAGAAAAAAGAAAAAAATTCGCGGGCATTCGTATACCTGGTGTGGTGAGAGTCTTGGGCTGCGTCGGGGTCGCGCTCCCCACGACGCTGGACGCCGCCGGGCTGTATGCCCTTAGAAGGGGCCCACCCCGCGGTAGGGTGCTACTTCCACCCACGTAGTATCCGCTGCCTGACGTCGAGTTCTTGGCCGTCTGCAAAACAGAAAGGAACTTTGTCAGAAGGGAATCAGGTCACGCGCAATAAAGATTTGAAGGTCGAGAAATCGGGGTTATTTTTCACGCCGACGAGGACTCGCAATAATCTAATCGACGCGTGGTGCAACGACGTCGGACGCTGAAATCTTCGATTAAAGGGCGATACGAGGCAATTGTAGGCTACGAGCGAGACACAATGATTGCATAGAGTTGCAAGATAATTTCGTACAATTAGCTGTCAATTCTTCAGTTTAGGTATCGTGGCTCTTGCGAATGATTGAATCTTTTAACGTGACTTTGGGACTCATCGTCTCATGGAATCGCCGAGATAGAGTCACGTTCATGTCTTCCGGCTTTCGCAATAAGTTTCAAGACTCGGTTAACCATTAACGTTAGCTTTCCAGCACGAATTTCCAACGTAGCACGTAGTTTTTACGACCATTTTAACGCACGCTATCTATATATATATATATATATACGTGTTGCATATCGATTTCTTCATACAAACTTTTATACAAGCTTGATGAATGATGGATTTAATCTACGATATCTTAAATTGTCGCATGGATGAGGCTTTTCTCAGAGAAAACTAGATAAGCATAAATCTTGGACACATTTAATTAAAAAAAAATAGATAATTTTAGATATTTTATTGTAGTATAAACTTAGTATAAATTGTCGACCAAGAGACACGGTGAAATCGTAAGGTCTTGAACTTTCTTACATAGTTTCCCAGCATGATATATTTTAAAATCTTTATACGCGCAATAAAGCATAATTTGTAATTCCATTCTCGCTTGTAACACGAAATGCCTAAGTTATTCGCCGTATCATCCCGTTTGTTTCGCGCTGCTTGTCTCGCTAACTTTCCACGAAAGATTAACTTTCCCATATCGATCACACAGTAGACATTGCATGACACGTACGGAATATATGATTAGCGATCCCGCATACGGCCGTAGAACGGTTAATAAAATAAAACTGTCTCTCTCGCATATTATCGTCGAAGTTGGCGTGGTCAATAAGTATAAAGTATAAATAAGGTAATAAAACGTAGTCAATAAGTTCTCTAATCGCGACCGCGATTTGTACCGTTCGTGTTACGGGTGTATTAAATTGTTGAGAAAATCGGAGAACGTGATGTTCCAAATTGAAATGTTTCAGGATCTCGAGCGAGAAATATGTGGCTGCGAGTGCGTATCTTTTCATTACTTACAATTGATCATGCCGACAATTTTTCTTTATTTTCGTTATCCCGTTATCAGAAATCGATTGTGACAAACGAGGCGGTAAATACGCGCGAATGGATACGGATAGGTCCGATGCAGGCGTATATTGAAAAGGAAGAAATAGTCCCATTTTTGACATTCCGATATAGACGTTCGATCCCACAATTTCCCTCGGGGGCGATTTCCCTCAAGTCCGTTCTCATTATGGGGGCAAAAATTATATTGTGCTCAGCGACTGAAATGGGTCAGTTTAACCTGAGGCCGTCACGAAAAGTCCCTCCCTCTTACCGATTCTTACTCGCGCACTCGCACTCGGCCGATTCACATCGATTTCGCTTTAGTCGTTGTTTACCGTCACCGCGAGTTCGGCTGGTCACCTCACTCGCTAGGCAAATCGGAGCGAAAAGAAAAGATCTGCCAGCATCGGATTTAATTAACGCAAGTGATTTTCCAAAGATCAATCATTCTGCAAATCTACGAAAAACTGGAGGGAAGAAGTAAATTTTCTTCAGAGAAGATTATTCAGTCTTCCGGCGAGTTTCCCACACTCTCTGTATCTCTCTGTGGCAAGGAAGAAATAACTCAGCAATAACAAGAGAAGAAGAAAGCAATAGCTTTCCGGGTGTTCATCAAATGTCAAGATGTGAGGAGAAGAAAAACAAATTATATATTCTTTCTGTTGTATATCCGTGAAGATAGAAAAAGAAATCTACAGTCTCTGAAGAGTCTTTTTACATAACGTACTTTTAATTATAAAGATCATTAAACCAAGAGAGTATTGTTGAAGCTTTCAATAGCACGAGCAAAAAAAAAAAGATTGGAGGAGACTATCATCGAGTTTTGTGCTTTTGCTCGTGGAAGTCATATATCGAGCAAAGAGAATTGACAGCAAGGTAGTATCTTATGTTTCTCGTCAATCGTGCCAACTGAGAAGTACACGACGAAGAGCTTAGTTTCTTGCTCGTGTTAGCAAGCGCGAATAAAAAGAAGCTGCGTATAGAAAAATCCGAGGAACGAAGTTTCGTTTTTAAAGGACAGAAAATCCGCGCATCGTTGTTCCGATCGTGAAAAGTGTCACTCAACGAGTGACAAGTGAGATAAATTGCGAAAAAGTCGCGAAGAGGAGTTTCGGAGCAGAGGGACCGGTATGTAAAAAAATCGACAAGCGGATGATCGGCGAACGAGTGAGAGATATCAGGTAGCTTTCCGCAGTTTTACTGGAAGGGTAGAACGAAAAGAACGAAGGAACTTGTAGCGTCGCGTGTAGTAGCTGAAAAAGAGGTATCGGCAAAATCGGCAACGGAGCCGGTAAGAAAAGTTGAGCGAACAACGGTCGGGAGACAATTCTCTTTTCGTGAGCGCGATCAGATAGACACGCGATAAGATTAAATGTAGAGAAGGTCGGAGCGGGCCAAGAAGACGAAAAGAGACGAAAAACAAAATTTCTCTCTCGAGAATAAATTATACGGATAAAACGAACAAAGCAGCAGAGATAAAAAAGCACGCAGCAAACTTTCGCTGCGAAGCGATTGAAGAAATAGCAATTAGATGCGACGAGGATGATGATCAGATAAGAATGAAGAGACTCATGGTAAATCTTGGAATTAGCATCCTTCCTTTCTCGTCCTTGATTTTCTTGGGCTTGCTTGCCGCGGCGGTTTCGGAAATATCGATTGCGCCTGTCGGCGCTGAGAAAAATGTGGGCGGCACGCCAATGCATGCCGTGCATTTAACGCAAAAAGGTTATATTCAGGTGAGAATCGTGCGATGTAATTTGAAAAAAAAAATAGATTTTTATTATTTTTTAATGTATATTAAAAACACGAGACTCGCGCTTTTGATATAACAAGTTATTTAATAATTTAGTATAAAGGAGAAAGCAGAAAGGTAAAACAGTGTAGAAATTTCAAAAATTTCAGGTAACATCATAATTAGAGACCATGACATACAATTTTAAATGCGCAATAGTTTATGTAATTTTACCTTGTCGAAAGATATTAAAAATTCAATCCATCATCAGCATAGTCTACAAATGAAGTCAAGAATCAGGAATTTCTACTTCAATTATCTGTTGTAAATAATAATAAATTCTGAAATTGTTTTAGCTTGCGATTAAAGTAAAGATTTTTAATGCTCGTGTTGTTGCGCAGCCCTACAAGAATGCATATAATTTCGCTAAAACGTTTGAATAAACGATTACTCAAATTGATTACCGGAGATTGCGCAGCAAAACATTCCGCTCTGCGTCTAGATATAGATCGAGAGTGAAAAGCTAACAAAACAGTGGGAACAAATAATGATAAATCGGCATGTTGTCGGATATAAAGGATACACATGTTCCAACAAACCGTAGAAACTCGCGAGATTTCTATCGATTACGTGAGCAAGAGGGCTGTTCCATAATACGTGGAAAAAAAGACTTGATTTCACACTGAATTGCTTAATTTTCATCGTCCACTCTAAGAAATGCCGACCGTGGTCTACATGCTCATTTCTATACTTACAACATGCCCCAGATTTCTTGCGCTTTCTTTTGCTTACAAAAATTCTTTAACTTAATTGGAATAAATTTCTTTCCTCAATAAAAATTCTTTTTCAACATTTGACTTTAATTACATTTTCTATAATTGAAGAAAAAAAAAAGAGATTTCAGAAATTTCGATCGATATATAATAAAGTTAGAAAATTTAACATTTTTAACAGATGAAGTTTTCATAAATTTCTCTTGGGAGATATTCAACTTTGAAAACAGTCAAAGAGTTTAGACTTTAGACTCGAAGACAAATCATCTGGGATGCCTTGAGATAAAAACGTTGTCTTAATTAGCGGAATAATTGTTGGCTAATTAATAAAATATCACGCTATGTGTCGTCTTCACTTTTCAGTTCCTCAGATGGGAATTGCCGGTACCGGAAATTCACGAATTTACATTCTGCCTTTGGGTGAAGTCGAACGATCTCACGTATCCCCACTCGATTCTTTCGTATTCAAGTGAGTATTCTCGATAAAATCGTGATTTAACGTTATACAAATTTCTTCTCTTTACATTTATGCATGATGCTACAAATTGATATATTTCCAATAAGTTTTATATTTAAAAAACACATGGATAAATCGTTATCTTCTTATTGTTATATTATTTGATAGATTATCTACAGACAGAACATCAAGATAATTATTGTAAAAAGCCTCTAGAGAAAGACAATCACATTTCACATTTCACAAATACTTTAAATCTAAAAAATAAAAATTCACTGTTTCGCTATCTGGACGCAAATAATAGTCTCTATTAAACGGATGTTAAGCTATATCCAGATTGCTGTAATGTCCGAGAGATAGAAAAGAGATAAGGAGACGTTTTAGACTGTTTTCCTAATTTAGAGAGATTGTTGTAACCGCTTTGAAAATAGTAACGTGAGCTGTTGTCTAACATACAAGGCTGTTATATACTTGCATTCACCAAGTAATTGCGCAACAGTCCATTGCGGGAAGTGTCTTTGCTTATAAAAAAGGCTTCGTCTCTTCGCTCGTGCTTGTGCATGTGCAATCATATCTCGTTGCAGTTTAATGGTATGTCAAGTGAACACGCTTTGCCCTACGGCATTATCCTTTTTACGTGTGAAAATTAGCGCTCCCGTTCTCATCGGCGGCGGAACGCTAATTGCTCGAATTATAAAATCTTACGGGATTTAACTACTCCCCGACATAGAGCCGACATAAACAGAATTTGAATATTTATGACGGAGAGCTCGAGAGCCGTTATACCCA